CTTTTCATGATGAATTGCATGTAAGGGCATATCTACACATTGCCCTATGGCGATGTTGTTACTGCACCATGCTTTAGTACTTCCTTTTGGAAGTACTAAAGCACGGTGCAATAACTGCCCATATTGTGCCATAAGTGTGGTGCATGGTTATTTTTAGCAGCTACTTTGCCATAGCAACATGCTATAATGGGGGAGCGCAGTGCTACAGAGAAGTAGCTGCTGGCCATGCGTAGACACCCGTGGATGCTACATGGCTGTAGCACATTGGTACAGCAACATAGCATTGCATGTAGACGCACCCTAAAAGTACTTATGATTATTAATTTCTCTGCACCAGCTAACACTATAACTAGCTGTATAAGAGGTTCCCTGATAGTTCTACATGGATCTTATTAGATCACAGCTCTTTCTGTCCTTCCTTTTTCCTTTGGAGATGCCACCTATTCCTGAGCTGCAGGGGTGGGGGGGATTGCCAGCTATTCCCATCCCATACTCAAACACCCCTAGATGACTGCTGTTCTTACACAAGTCATGCCTCATACCTCTGAAGTGAAATCAGAGTCTGCTGTGTTACCACAGGCTTCGTTGTGCTCCATTAGATTTCTAAATCATTATCTGGTGTCTTTTTAAATTTGATCTTTAATTTAAAAATATCTTTGATTAAAAATATCTTTGGGAATTTTCATAAGGGTTTTTTTTGCATCTTTCCCTTACTGTTACCTGGCATATATACCTCAGTAGTACTTCTGTTATTGAATACTGTGCTGCTGCAGCTAAGGAGTCCATTTTCAGAGCTCTCCACTCTGATGCATTCATTTTTCTGTCAGCTATTCAGCCTGCTGTCAAGTTTCTTATTTCAGTGGCCCCAGTGTTTACCCCGATATGACAAAAAGGCCCTTCCTCTACTGTGTAAATGTGTTCAAAGTCATGTGACTGTTTCCCCAAATTATTTTCATTCTTGTTGAAACAAGTTGTTCCATTGTTTTGTCATATCTAAGACTTTCCCAGAACAACTTAGTTGGCTTCTTTGTATAGAAGGTAAAGAAATAACTTCTTCTGTGGGACAGAAATCAGGCCTGTCCTTGTCCAGAATCTGCAGATCTCAAAACAAGGATGAGAACATTTAAAATGTTCTTCCAAAATTTCAAAGATCACATCATCCTTGCCTCTCTGCATCCTGCTTTTCTACCCCCTACCAATGCAAAAGCAATAGAAAACTGGAATAGACAGGCTCCCCTCACCTTTCACCTCCCTAGTGCTGCTCCTTTACAATGCAGCTTGTTCTTGCCAAGTTCCTTGCAGACACCATCTGCTTGACTAGTGCAGAGGAGGCCAAAGCACTTTCAAAGCCATATTCAAGTCTAGGTCTGTATTATTCCTCTGGAGATTATGATGGGGGAGGGAGGCAGAACAGATGAAGCTCATTTTTTATAGTTTGGCAATAATAGGATTTGGCTTAGCCTGCATAGGTCAGAAGATCTATTATGACAGCCCCATGTAGCCACCAGTCTGTATAGTGTTTATTCAGACTGGGCCATAGTCATACCACATACCATCTAACAGCATTCTGCCCCACTGAGCTGTTTTGTCATTTTTCCAAACAGCGCACATCCAGGCTGACATCATTGCTATGGATGTCCTGCCCCAGCTGCTCTCCCTTCTTGCATCCAACAGTACAGACGTTCAGCAAGCTTCCATTGCGCTCCTTTGGAAATTATCCCAACACCCAGGCAACCAGGTAAGGGTAGCAGTACGTCAAAAGCAATGTCAGGAGAACAGTTCTGGTCACTGCCTCCGTTGAAACCCTTAATACATCTTACCATGTGGTGTTATAGTAATGGCGTTAATTAAATATATGTTATGAATGACTGATACAGACACTTTGTATGAAGTAAAAATGGGTCTTATCCAAAGTACCATGGTTTAGCTACTGCAGTCATACCTTGCCAACTGTTACAGAGGTTGTGTGAGTTAAGTACTGTTCGGTTGGGATGGGGGTTAGTAGGTAAGCAGAATCCAGTTAGTAGGTAAGGAGAACCCAGTGGACATTGAGCTTAACAAGGGTTCCTTTTATTGTTGATCAGCTGTACCGAAGGGCAGGTCGGATGCTGGGGCCACCTGAAGCAACCCATGCTGTGATTGCAACACCACATTCCATGCACTTCTGCAGTAGTGATTCAGGACAAAGGGGTTTCTTAGGTTGGGAGATGAGTAGCACAATGGGAGAACTTTATAATGAGACAGACGTAAGGAAGCTGCTTTATGGTGTAGGGGTTGGCATAACAATTATGACTAGTGTCCCCAGAGGCACTTAGGGAAGTTAAGACACAGATGTGAAGTTGAAACGCATGAACTCCCTGTGCAAACACTCTAATTCTAATGTAAAGTAATCTTAGTTCACTTCAGTTGAATGCCTTTTGAATGATGATTAAATCCACTCAGGAGAAATGCAATTTAACTTCACACCATAAGTCAGATTTCCTTAGTTTTCTTGAGCATCTGTTTGTTGACAAATTGTTTGGATTTGGTTAGTTTGGCCACCTCTGTTTAAGTTAAACAGCACCATAAACCATGCAATTTTGTGCTCATATATGCCATTTGAAAGACAAACATGGACCATAAACCAAAGGCATTTGACTGCTGTATTTTCATTGTCTATTGAGAAAGAAATGTAAACAAAGCATAGGCTAGTGAAATTTAGTCCTCCAAAAGTTATTACAGTCATTAATGGCATCCTAAGTAATATTCGAAAGGAAATTTTAATAAAAGATTTTTAAAACTAGTAGTAATCTTTAAAGACAGCATTTAAGAGTGTAATGCAAAAAGGTGAAAACCCTTCTTATGATCTAGCATTATACAGTACTGACAAGATAAATTGAGCCATAACTAGTCAGATTAGGTGTTTTTAGTGATTGATAACTGGAATAGATTTGTGCTGGTTTGAAACTCCCACAGGAACCCAGTGCTTTATGTAAAACAAAGAAAAAAATCAGTCTTGTATAGCATGGGCAAAATGAATGCCTCCAATTCAATGGTGCTCTGGGAAAAGAGAAGAGACACATTATCAGAGCAGTGCCTGAAGACAAAATGTTTTTCAAAGACAATATGCTTATTAGCTTTTTGTGTTGTGCTAGCAGGGATCAGGGCCCCATTGTGCTAGGTAGTCTATACACATAAACAGTCCTGGTTGCAAAGAGCTTACAAGTTAAATAATCTATGTCAGTGGGCTTACTTGTTAAGCAAGGTGTTACTTAGCATGAACAAATGTATCCACTTTTTTGCCCATAGTAATGAAGTAATTACTTTAACCAAGAAAGGTAGTTCTTGCTGTTCAAACCCTGCATTCACGCACAAACAATCCCTTTCCTGCTTCTGAAACACGTGCCAAACAGCCAGTCAGATGAAAGCACAGCAGGTCTGAGCATCAAATAGAAGCAGAGATTCAGTTTGAATATATCCAAAGTGAATGGTCAGTTCTTCAACAACAGTAACGGGAAGAGGTAATTGAGGGCCAGAAACAAGAAACTTTGAAGTGAAATGTCATCCCCAGGTTTGTTCTCCAGAAAGAAGTGTTTCCATTTGGACATTTATTTAATGAGCCAATATCACTGGCACTCACTGTTTTGCATTGTGAATGTAAAACAGCTAGTGAAGTGTCTAGGCAAGCAATTGATCCATCAGGCCCTCCTCCTTTCTCCATCCAGCCCACTGTCATGTCTATTCTACCCTATTTTTCAAATCTTTCAAGGTTTTCACCTCTAGCCTAGTATGAATTGTGAGTAAATTAGAGACTTCTCCATGGGAACAGCTATAGGAAAACAAATCCCAGAACAAAGCTAACCTTTACAACCTAGTGAAGTAATGCTTGAATTATTGCAAATACTACCTTGTTTACAAGAGGGCAGAAAGAATCTGGCCTTTGGTTCCCATGGACTGGATCTGCTGGAATGTTTCCTGGAGCCTTCATTCCTTAACAAGAAGTCTTATATTTCACTGTCCTGGCTATTGCAAGGTCTCTGGTGACCAGATGACAGAACCAGGGAAGGTATAGAGAGAAGTCCTTGCACAGTCATGGAATTATGATGTTATTGAAATAATAGAGACGTGGTGGGAGCTTACATGACTGGGACACTGATGGATGGGTACAAACTGTTCAGGAAGGACAGGCAGGGGAGAAGAGGAGGAGGAGCTGGACTTTATGTAAAAGAGCCATGTGCTTGCTCAGAGCCATGAGTGATTGGTGCCTCCTGAATCTAGGGGGGCACCCACAGAAGCTGCCGATGGGGGTGGCCCTGTCAGGGGGGACACCAGCCCTACCGACAGCATCAGTGTCAGCCATCGGGGGGTACATGCACCCCCGTGCACCCCCTACCAGTCGCCTATACTCAGAGCTCCAGTACAGAACTGGAGGTAGGCCTGTTAAAAGTCTCTGGGTTAGCGTTAGAGGGGAAAGTAACAAGGGTGCTGTCAAGGGTGCCGTTCTCATTAAGAAACTGGGGCGCTGTGGCATAGACACCCACACAGTCAAATGGGTCGCCAACTG